GCTCCAGTTTTAGTAAATCTCTACCATTGTGTCTGCTAGCTGATAGAGGAGAAAGCCGTGCTAGATCATTAATCTGTATCAGTGCCGGGACAAAGTCATCTAGAGCCCAGGGAAAACTTGCTGTATTGCACCCCCCCCTCGCGAAGATGTATGAGTATCATTTGTCAATAAATATTCTGTCTCCCCCCCAAAAAAGTAGACCACTAATCTGCATGTTTAACCCTACGCATAAATCAGTATATAAAATGACAGTGAGGGGCAGGGGCGGACTGACAACCCATGTGGCCACCGGGCAATAGGGGATCATGGGCCCCATGTCCTCGCCCAAACTCAAAAAAGCCTATGAAAAAGCCAATGAAAGGTACCAGGGGCATCTCATGGGCCCCCTACTGACCCCAGGCCCTCGGGCAGTGCCCGAGTGCTCGAATGGTCAGTCCGCCCCTGGTGTGGGGGAGATTTACTAAAACTGGAGGACTCATAATCCGGTGCAGCTCTGCATAGTAACCAATCAGCTTCCAGGTTTTATTGTCAAAGCTTAATTGGACAAGCTGATTGGCTGCCATGCCCAGCTGCACCAGATTCTGAGTGATCTGGTTTTATTAAATTTCCCCCTGTGTGTCTTGTCATATAGTGGAGGAGGAAGCAGTGCTGGATCAGTAATCTGTATATACAGTGACAGTGTGTCAGATAGTGGAGGAGGAAGCAGTGCTGGATCAGTAATCTGTATATAAGGTGACAGTGTGTCAGATAGTGGAGGAGGAAGCAGTGCTGGATCAGTAATCTGTATATAAGGTGACAGTGTGTCAGATAGTGGAGGAGGAAGCAGTGCTGGATGAGTAAACTGTATATAAGGTGACGGTGTGTGTCATGTCAGATAGTGGAGGAGGAAGCAGTGCTGGATCAGTAATCTGTATATAAAAGGTGGCAGTGTGTCAGATAGTGGAGGAGGAAGCAGTGCTGGATCAGTAAACTGTATATACAGTGACAGTGTGTCAGATAGTGGAGGAGGAAGCAGTGCTGGATGAGTAATCTGTATATAAAGTGAGCAATGTGTCAGATAGTGGAGGAGGAAGCAGTGCTGGATCAGTAATCTGTATATACAGTGACAGTGTGTCAGATAGTGGAGGAGGAAGCACTGCTGGTTCAGTAAGCTGGGTGACAGTGTGTCAGTAAGGAGGAAGCAGTGCTGGATCAGTAATCTGTATATACAGTGACAGTGTGTCAGATAGTGGAGGAGGAAGCAGTGCTGGATGAGTAAGCTGTATATAAGGTGACAGCGTGTCAGATAGTGGAGGAGGAAGCAGCAGCTGGATGAGTAAGCTGTAAATAAAGCAACAGTGTTGGATATCTTAAGAGGAACTAAATTCTGAAAGATGTGTTAAAATAATGGGCAGAGGACAAAGGACTTGTCACCTTTATTGCCTGAGGTCTCCCTGTGTCTGATTTTATCCCCACTGCTATGTCTTTCTGTGGAGGCGGCCATCTTGGAAGAGGCAGGGTTTTACTTCCTCATGTCAGAGCCTCCAGCAAGGAGATCAGTGAGCAGCACAAAAATGACATCATCAAACCTCCCCCCAAATCTCCTGAGACTAGCAGTCAGCAGTGCCTTAGATTTCACACTGCAGACGCACAGCCATGAGTCTGTAGACGCAGGTGTGCCTAGGCACCCTCACCTACCAGGAAGAGAGCTGCTGTTTTTTCAGGAGATAGACTGTCCCTATAACAATGCTCATTTTGTGAGTTCAGGAGAACTTTGGTGTCACCTTTTTTGCCCACGCAGTATTCCAGGTAGCGCTCCATCTCATACAGCGGTTTCTCTGATGTGGGGGAGGTGTAGAAGATGACAATGGAGGATTGGTCCACGGGCAATGTCCAGTCCACATCCTTCGTGGGTGGTGAAAGGGCGATATATGAGCAATGGCCGATGTTGTCATCGTCCTTCAGAAGGTCGGTCATGTCGATGGGATTGCGGCTCACTTCCCAGGACAGGATCAGAGCTCTGCAACTGAAGGAGATAAAACGGACGGCTCGGTCATCGGGACGGTTCTGTTGACCAGGACTGAGTGGTGGGAAGGGGATAACACATGTATCCAGTTGGTCCTTGCATTACATTAAGGTCCAACTCTGCCCCCCCCCCCAAAAAAAAAAATACCCTTATAGTGCAACTTCACCCCCCACCACCCAACCAACCCCACCCCCACCACAAGGGATAAGTGCTTGTCAAGTCCAGGGGGTTAAAGAGGAAGCTGTACTACTTACCTTTTCCCTCCCTCCTGCAGGCCCCTTGTAGTGGTGAGACCGGTCCCCGGCCTCCTCTACCTCTCTAGGCAGCTCCTGGCCCGGACACACACTCGCCCTCTCCATGTACAAAGCAGGGTTAGTAGTCCTGCATTGTACATGATGACACTGAGGAGCCACCCACAGACCAGAGCTTCAGGGAGACGAGGACCGCGCTGGAGCACCAGGACAGGACAGTAATGCGGCATCTTCCTGTAGTTCCTGGGACTCATCATAACTAAAGGTAACATTTTTATTTTTTTATTTTTTTTGCAGAAAAGAGGGACTAGGGCCATTGTCAATTTTTTTAGCAGTCCGTTTCCCTGTTTGGGATTTATATATACAGTATATACACACGGCTCAAAAAAATGAAAGGAAGACATTGAAAATCCATCAGATCTCAATGGGGAAGAATTCTCCTGCTGGTTCTCTATACTGACATGGACGGGGGATGGGTGAGGAATGTAAGGACGACCCCATCGTTTGATGGAAATGAAAATGATCGACCTACAGAGGACTGAATTCAAAGACACCCTGAAAATCAAAGTGAAGAAATGATGCAGCAGGCAAGTCCATGTTGGTGAAATGTCATTGCAGCAACTCAGAATGGTCCTCAGTAGTTTGTATGGCCCCACATGCTTGTATGCATGCCTGACAACGTCGGGGGAGGCTCCTAATGAGACCATGGATGGTGTCCTGGGGGATTTCCTCCCAGATCTGGACCAGGGCATCACTGATGGTGTTAGATGGACTGACACATGATATTCTAAAAGTGTTCTATTGGATTTAGGTCAGGTGAGCGTGGGGGCCATTCAATGGTATCAATTCCTTCATCCTCCAGGAACTGCCTGCCTACTCTAACAAACATTGTTGTGCACCCTGGACTAAAGAACCTAGGACCCACTGCACCAGGAGGAACCCAGGACCCACTGCACCAGAGGAACCCAGGACCCACTGCACCAGGAGGAACCCAAGACCCACCACACCAGGAGGAACCCAGGACCCACCGCACCATTGTACGGTCTGACAATAAGTCCAAGGATTTCATCCCGATACCTAATGGCAGTCAGGGTGCCATTGTCTAACCTGTAGAGGTCTGTGCGTCTCTCCGATGGATATGCCTCCCCAGACCATCACTGACCCACCACCAAACCGGTCATGCTGAACCATGTTACAGGCAGCAGAACGTTCTCCATGGCTTCTCCAGACCCTTTCCCGTCTGTCACATGTGCTCAGGGGGAACCTGCTCTCATCTGTGAAAATGCACAGGGCGCCAGTGGTGGACCTGCCAATTCTGGGGTTCAATGACAAATGCCTATCCAGCTCTATGGTGCCAGGCAGTGAGCACAGGGCCCACTAGAGGACGAGGGCCCTCAGGCCACCCTCATGAAGTCTGTTTCTGATTGTTTGGTCAGAGACATTCACACCAGTGGCCTGCTGGAGGTCATTTTGTAGGGCTCTGGCAGGGCTCATCCTGTTCCTCCTTGCACAAAGGAGTAGATACCGGTCCTGCTGATGGGTTAAGGACCTTCTATGGCACTGTACAGCTCTCCTAGAGGAACTGCCTGTCTCCTGGAATCTCCTCCATGCTCTTGAGACTGGGCTGGGAGACCCAGCAAACCTTCTGGCAATGGTACGTATTGATGTGCCATCCTGGAGACGAGTTGGTCTGCCTGCTACAACCTCTGTAGGGTCCAGGTATGGCCTCATGCTACCAGTAGTGACACTGACCCGAGCCAAATGCAAAAACAGTGAAAAACAGTCAGAAAAGGTGAGTAGGGAAAAAAGTCAGTGGCCTCCACCTGTAAAACCATTCCTGAATTTGGGGATCGTCTCATTGTTGGCCTTCTAGTGAGATCTCATGTTATTTCATTAACACCAAAGCAGCTGAAACTGATGAACAACCCCCTCATGCACTTGACCTGACCAGATCAATACTCAGGAACTATCATGGACTTTGCATGTAGAGTCTGATTACAAAGTCTAGTTTCATTTTTTTTTTGGAGCAGTGTACTGAGTATATATAATATATACCTATATATACCATATTTTCTACTAGTTCTGGTGACACTGTGGGGGGGGGCGGTTCCGCTTGCTTTCTATTTTGGTAATGGGAAAATGGTTAAAGCAAACACACTGTATATACATATATCATATAGTGTGTGTATGTATATATATATATTTATTTAGGAATTCTTATATTTGCATATATACAGTATATATATTTGTACACAAATGCCCAGTGCTATCGATGGCTTGACGAATGTCAATTGATTTTGAAATGAATGGACTTTCCTGCATGAAAACCGCATACACTGTTAGCACTTCGTTTGTTCCTTCCCATCCCGCTCCTATGAGTCAAAAATGAACATCGATCTGACCCCATGAAGGAACGACCGACCTTAAAAACAAACAATTTTCAAACAAAACTCTACTAGTGTGTGACCAGCTTTAAAGTGAAAGTAAATCCCACTTTTGGGTTGTCACTTTTACAGGAATAGTGGAGAAATCTTCCAATGGGGACACTAGTTCTGATGACACCCCAGAGTTCCCTCACACTTTGAGGGGGGGGGTTCCACTCTCACTTTCTATTTTGGTAATGGGACAAAGGTGAAAAAAAAATTACAGGGGTACAACCCTCCCATACTCTATCCAATATGAAAAAAAGTTTGGTCTTTATTCCTAAAATAATGAGCATATAACCAGGGGCGGACTGACAACTCATGGGGCCCCCGGACAATAGGGGATCATGGGGCCCCTGTGTCCTCACCCACACTCAAACCACACCCAAAAAAGCCTATGAAAGGTACCAGGGGCATCTCATGGGGCCCCCTACTGAACCCTGGGCCCTCGGGCTGTGCCTGAGAGCCCGAATGTCAGTCCGCCCCTGCATCTAACACTCAGGGCCGGTTCACACTCCATGCAGTTGCTTTTTTCTGCATCTAAAACACACAGAAAGTTGGTGATATGGTTGTCAGTGTCACAGTTCACATCAGTGCTTGCAGTTGCCAGTGCGTTCCGGTTGCAGAAAAAAAAGTAGAACAGGCTGCATTTTTCCTGCACAAAACTGTACTGGAACGTGGTAAAACGCATAAAAAAATGCACCGGAACGCACCAAAATGCACCTAAAAGGCACGGGAATGCACATGCACATGTCCCTATATAGATTGAAGAAAAAGAGGGGGAAAATGAACTAATGCATCAAAAACGCACTGGAACGTGTCAAAAACACATCAAGAACACACCGGAACGTGCCAAAACGCACATGCAGAAACACATCCGCAATGCATCTGGACTGCATTTCTATGGTGTGAACTGACCCTTAGAGTAGTAGTTTTAGGGAAAGGGGGGGGGTCACGGCAAGGGTCTTCTTTTGTGTATGGAGCAGGGGAGGACTGACCATTCGAGCACTTGGGCACTGCCCGAGGGCCCGGGGTCAGTAGGGGGCCCCATGAAATGCCCCTGGTACCTTTTATAGGCTTTTTTGGGTGTGCTTTGAGTGTGAGCAAGGACACAGGGACCCCATGATCCCCTATTGCCCAGGGGCCCCATGAGATTGTTCAGTCTGCCCCTGGTATGGAGCTATATGTATAGGATACGGTACAATCAGATTGCATGGTGTGTACGTGAACATTTCTGTGTAATTCATGTTTTCTTTTCATAATGCCAGGAGATGACCCAGTACTGGAGTCTCAGTGAGGAAATACGGATAATTCTGTTCCATGAATGAGGAACGAAATGTCAGAGCAGCTAATGATCAGTTTTATTACCCGCCATAATCACAGAAAACTGCCGATCCCCAGAAACCGCCTGCGATAAATCCAAGGTTGTATCTTCCTGTTAATCTGTCATCTGATACAAACTGTCACAATATTTCCTGCAGAGAGTTATAAATAAAATGCACGGTATTTGCGCAGCGGTTTTTCAAACGCAATTTTTTGGGAACAAATACACTTTAATGAATTTTATTGCAAAAAACCCCAAAGTATATAGCCCATTTTTGGGGGGTAAAATATAAAAGATGATATTACGTTGAGTAAATAGATACCTAACATGTCGTGGTTTAAAAGTGCGCACACTCGTGTGGAATGCCGATAAACTATGATACTGAAAAATCTCCATAGGCGATGCTTTAGACATTTTGACAGGTTAGCAGTTTCCAGTTACAAGGGAGGTCTGGAGCTAGAAATATCGCTCTCACTATAACGTTCGCAACGATACCTCCCATACCTCACCGCTTTACAAATGTGTGTGTGACCTACGTATGCATTCAGGGGAACTTTTTTAAAAATTTATTTTAATATTTTTTATTTCTATTTTTATACTGTCTCTTTTTTTTTTTTCTTTCACAAGAAATGTAACCATCCCTTGTGATAGCAATAGAGCATGACAGGTCCTCTTTATGGAGGCATCTGGGGTCTATAAGACCTTGAAAGCATGAGATCACAAAAAAAAAATTGATCTCATGCTTTGCAGAAAAAAAAATGACTTTTGACCAAGAATGCTTTTCAGTCATTTTTGTCAATAGGGGGGCCGCTGCTGACCTCAACTTATTATTTTTGGGGTTATTTCTATCCTCTATATAGCACTTTCTGGATCGAATTGCTAAAAAAGAATGTAATGAGGTCAGCAGGGATCCCCCGTGTTGACAAAAGAACTGGAAAGTATTCTTGGTCAAAAGGTATTTATTGGTCAGATCAGGATATTATATGCCATCAAGGTGTTTTGTGGCAATTTAGGATCAGTGTAGGAACACTTTAGAGATTTTGGTGCTGTGCTGAGGCTTGGAACACTCCAGGGGCACCTCTGCTGATTAGTCACCATTCTTTTTGGGGTGACTTCCATCTTCCATTTCACTTCCTGGGATCAAAGCATTACCGAATGCATGATCACCTGGAATCCCCCAATGACCGAGTCAGGGGAGGACTGACAACTGACGGGGCCCCCAGGCAATAGGGGATCATGGAGCCCCAGTGTCCTTGCCCAAACTCAAAAAAGCCTATGAAAAAGGTACCAGGGACATCTCATGGGACCCCCTACTGACTCCGGGCCCTCGGGCAGTGCCCAAGTTTCCAAATGGTCAGTCTGCTGCCCTGGACCGAGTGCAAGCACCTACAATTGCCTGTTCGAAGGCAGTCATAATACATATCTTTTGACCAAGAATTCTTTCCAGTCATTTTTGTCAACATGGGTGCCTCTGCTAACGTAAAACCCCTTATTTTTGGGGTGATTTCTGTCCTCTATAGAGCACTTCCCAAATCTCTCCAAAAAGAATGCAGATAAGGTCAGCAGAGACCTCTGTGTAGACAAAAGAACTGGAAAGTATTCTTGGTCAAAAGGTATTTATTGGTCAGATCAGGATATTATATGCCATCAAGGTGTTTTGTGGCACCTTCATCAGGATCAATGGAAGAACGCCTTAAGGAGGCAAGGATTTTGATGCTCTGCTGTGACTTGGAACCCTCCAGGGGCACCTCTGCTGACCTCTTCTCCATTCTTTTTAGGGTCACTTCCATCTTCCATATCACTACCTGGGATCAATGCACCACTGTACGCATGGTCACCTGCAACCACCACAATGAGCATCGAGTGCAACCACCTACTAATGCCTGAATGAAGGCAAACCTAATACCTGCCATTTGACCAAGAATTCTTTCCAGTCATTTTTATTGAAATGAGCGCATCCTCTGACTTCAACTCCATTATTTTGGGGGAGATTGCTATTTATTTTAAAAATGTTTTTATGTGAACAGAAATAAGAGTCTGTAGATTTAGAGATGTCTATATGTGATGAATTTTTGGTACCTTCAAAGACCAAAGAGTTTCTGTGGGATACTTCATTTGTAATTAGGGATTTTGCACCACGACTACAAAATTGTCCTATTAGGCAGTTATATAAAGTAACAATAACAAATGTGAGTAATGGAGGCCATAGACAGGTCGAAAATCAGCCGATTTTCCAGCCGAAAAAAAAAAATCGGCAGATTTTCGCACTGTTAGTGGGTTAATTGGTCGGCTGTTTCTCTGGCTTTTTGCACATTTTTTTTATTGGGCATGTTGGAAAATTTGCAGCCAATTTTGAGGATCGGCTGATTTTCCTGGCAATGATGGGCAAATCAGCCGATCGTTTTACCGATAAAAAATGTGCGCATGAGCTGTGACCTGAAAGAAAAAGATAAAGAAGCAGAAGAAAAAGAAGAAGAAAAAGAAGAAAAATGGAAAAAGAAAAAGAAGAAGGAAAAAAAAGAAGAAGAAGAAGAAAAATAATAAAAAGAAAAAGAAGAAGAAGAAGATAAAGAAGACAAAGAAGAAGAAAAATAAGAAGAAAAATAATAAGAAGAAAAAAAGAAGAAGAAGAAGAAAAATAATAAAAAGAAGAGTAAGAATTTCAGTCCGCTATTATATTTTATATGAAAAAGTCTTGTGGTTGCAACAATGTATCCATTTGTAGATGAATAAAAACATCTGTATCAAAAATGGATACAAATGGATACATTGTTGCAACCGCAAGACTTTCATGTACAATATGATAGCGGAGCTCTCTGCAAGGGACAGAAGTAATTATGGGGTTAAATGCCGGCCGTAGACGGGATGAAAATCGGCCGATTTTTTTACCGTTGGTGGTACCTTCAGCTGATCAAACAACTGATTTTTAGTTTGTTTTTTTTTTTTTAAACGGCTGGTTTTCGACCCATCTATGGCCTGCTTAAGAGGAATGTGTTATCAGAGACAAGATAACAAGCATTACTATTATCATCATTATCAAGAAGGGGAAAACCACAGATAAGGGTGAAAGATAAACTTAGTTGCTGACCTTTGTGTCTTGTCTGGCCTTGTATGTTCTTGTAATGTTCCTTCACCTCCCGTCTCCTGTAATTCAGGGGTCTTGCTTCCTTTCAGTTCCTCAGGTTTGGGTGGAGATGTCACCTTTTGATCATTTTTGGCAGACTTGGGATGTTTGTCTTTTTTCTTATGAGCTCCCTTGTCTCCTTTGACCCCTTTTGCTTTTGGTGTCTCTTCACCATGAGAACCTTCCATCTTGGCTTTTCCTAGTGACGCCATTAAATTCTACCACTGAGGCTTTTCAAACAGAAGTCTTTCTGAGTTTTAAAGTGACTTGTGTACTTCTTTAGAGATCCTGAGATTTTTCTCTGACATTCTGTCTGATTTGGTCTCTCTGTGTAGAAGGTCCTAGAGGATATCATCAGCACCAGTTGGGTAAATCCTGGGCTCTCGTTTTATAGGATCATTTCAATGTTAGGCTTTGTCCTCCAGGAAGACACATCTAGGGCAGAGATTGAGTCTCTCTGTCACTGTGAAGGTTGTCACACAGATTATATTCTGTGCAAGGTCTATAGAGTGGGAAGGTGGAGCCCTGATACAAAGGTGACGCTACAAACAGATAACACTTTCTGCAGCTAACATGGTATCTTATTTCCTTATTGATAGGGACAGCTACATTCCATAAACATGTCTCTGATATTTCATGGATGAACGTCAAAAGAGTTTAAAAGGAACAAATGCATGATACAATAAATATTCTCTCTTTTGAATATCCAGACTGGCATCATATATGGCACGCCACTGCACATTGCTCCATTAATATTGCTGCAACTGGATCTAATTCTAAGCTACTAATGTGTTGGTATATGGTGCCCCAACGCCTAGCCAGGTCTAAACCTTCAATATCTGACAAATGCTTCAGGGGTGCCAACCAAAAGGAACCCTCATACATATTTGGTGGGAAACAATTTTGCACAGATATTTATAGAATAATACATACTTTAATAGGTAAAAGAATGCAAAAAAAATCCAAAAGAAGATTTATTGAATTTAAAACCTCCCAACTGCACCCAATTGCACCAAAAATCAGTCCATTCCTATTCACTGCAGCCAGACTCTGGAAAAGGCTTGGTGGTCCTCTATAACAACTTCCACCAAAGTCAAAAATAAGATGATGTGTTATATGTCCAATGAAAAATGTGCTGCGATCCTTCACGATAAATCCCACAAATTTGAGAAAATCTGGGCTCCTTGGATCGAATCGTATCTTCCAAAAGACTTTGATAGGTCCTTGTTACGCATATAAAACAAAAAGACATTCGTGTCCATATGCTCATTCCTTGTGTATATTTGCTTCCCTGGATCCTCCATTTATATTCTTACTCTTCCCTTCTTTTCTATTCTTTTTATTTTTCCAACTCTTTAATTTATCTCACATCAACATTTATACATTTATCTATGTTAATGAAAACATGAATGATACGCATATTATCTATATTCATGGCTACTATTGTACAAATGTCTCTATATACACTGTATTGCCAAACCTCCAAACTTGGTGTGGCCTTCAGATTATCACAACAACAGTGTGTAGAGAGCTTCATGGAATGGGTTTCCATGGCCGAGCAGCTGCATCCAAGCCTTCCATCACCAAGTGCAATGCAAAGCGTTGGATGCCGTGGTGTAAAGCACGCTGCCACTGGACTCTAGAGCAGTGGAGATGTGTTCTCTGGAATGACTAATTACACTTCTCTGTCTGGCAATCTGATGGAGGTGTCTGGGTTTGGCAGTTGCCAGGAGAACGGTACTTGCCTGACTGCATTGTACCAAGTGTAAAGTTTGGTGGAGTGGGGATTATGTTGTGGAGTTGATTTTCAGGGGTTGGGCTTGGCCCCCTAGTTCCAGTGAAGTGAGCTCTAAAGGCATCAGCATGTATGGTCATGGTCAGTGGGAAAAATGCTCCTTACACGTGTGGTCATTGCAAAGAATTAGTCATGTATAGATAACTAATGTAACGCATTCTAGGTTAGATAAACAAGATTTTGTTAGTAAGAGGCTGGGTAGCAGCCTGAGATGAGTCAGCCTGAGAATGAGGTAGTGAGTTCACTTCAGGACAGGCTGGGAGGCTCTAACAGGTCAGGGCTTCTGGAACAGGACAGAGGTGGAGAAGGGGAGGAGGCCCAGATCTGCATGTTTAAAGGGACTTTGGCCAATCCCCTGGCAGGAGGCTGGGCATGGTGACCAAGGACAACCCTTGAATGTGGTGGAACCTGGGGAGCAGTGTGTAGTGCAGAATGAAATAAAAAACAAGAAGCGCACCAGCCTTGCGCATTACCTCAGTAACCAATATTTATTACTTGTAAAAAACCAGCCTGTAGGTAGGCTCCCCTCCCTGGTGCCCCCTCTCAAGCTCCACACTCCATCTTTTATCTCAGTGCATGTTCCACCTGACACTACACACTGCTCTAAGTAAATCGAAAAAGAATTCCCACTGCGCTCTGGGACTCAGACAGGTGGCAGACAGATGGAACCAGGCCTGAAGGAATCGTCCACCAATGCATTAAGGGCTGTGCGGCTCCAAACCAAGGCTGGGGAAGCCCAATCAGCACTGCAGAATGAAATAAAAAACAAGAAGCGCACCAGCCTTGCGCATTACCTCAGTAACCAAAATTTATTACTTGTAAAAAAATATACTCACAAACAGCGAATAAAATCAAGCATATAAGTCCTCACAGGGACTTGAAGATAACATGAGTCCCATCAGGGGAATGGGTGTTCAGTACAGCTGACGCTTTTCGAAGGGGGTCCCTTCTTCCTCAGAGCTAACTGAACTGTGAGTGCACTCTCCTATATATACACTCCTGGACTAGACCTAGGCCCTCCCTGAATGGGTTGGGCAGTCTCAGGTTGATAGGAGGGGCCAAGATATTGTCAACAGACCCTCGATATTTGCAATGCCATTAGAGAGAAATAACATATAAAATATATAAAATATAAAATAAAAAATAAAAATGCATAAAAAACCACATTTTGCATACACCACTTAGTGTGCATATAATCCATCAATTTAGCGATGACACCATAGGAGATGATGATCATGGCTAATACATGATGAAGCATGATATATTATAAATAATTCTCGTGTTCCATGTTTCATTAGTGAGCAATGTGTCCCATGGACACTTCATCCAATATATTGTTGTCAACAGGAATGTTCTGAGTGTAAGGAATGTGGTTACCTATCACTAGCCCTGACAATAATAATCTTTCATCCTACTGTCCCATACTACAAGGTCATATATGGTCTCTTTAGTAGTTTGGTGCGAACTAGTGACCCCTTAAGACTGGTAACATACTGCAAATCCACGGTTGATGGATCTCCCGAATGTATAGATGTGAAGTCTATCATATCTTTACATAATT